TGAGCTATCCGCAGCCACTGCAGCGCGAGTTCTATCCCCAGCCAGGGAGATGCCCACAAGGAGCAGCAGGCCTCTCCTGACTCACCCGCTGTTCCCCTCAGCAGTGTATTTCAGTAGATCTGCCTATTCTGTTCCCCACTCTGTCTCTGGTGAATCCTCTCACCCCCGCACCTCTGGCCTGTACCCTGGTTCTTGTATGCATAAATAAATAAATCTTAAAAAAAAAAAAAAAAAGTGTACGATCCCCCATCAGGCATTGTGGCCATTTGGTGGTGCACCCACTACCAAAGGACCCATATAGCCCACCACCATAGACCCTTGTGCTCCCTCCTTTCTTTGTTCTCATCCCCACTTTGTCACTCTCCCCCCCAACTTCTGCTTGCTCCAATTCCACTGCCAGGTGTCAAGGGTTAGCATTTTCTACCTTCATACTCCTTATTCCTTTGAATTTTTACTCCCCCACGCTGATCTGAGGGTAGATGTGAACAGTCTGGGACTACCTAGCAACTTGACTGACATGTTGTAGATCTTCAATAATAGTCTTCAACTGATAATTGTGTAGATACCTTTTACCTTGAAATGGGATGAATATTGGTAAATAGAAATACTGACATTATTTGTGTTATACATCTTTTATTTTATATCCTGCGCATGGGTTAGCATCTGACAGCAACTAGAAATAAAATTTGAATCTTTGCTTTTCCATTGCCCAATGTCTTCCTATTGTGTAAGATGAGAGTTAAATGTTAACTCTATGCTGTAAATATCGTATGTATTGGTGTTGTATGATACACTGTGAGCATACAGGTACAGGTAACTCACCACATATAAGGAGAGGTCAAGGTGTTCACAGGCAATGCTGTGCATTATTTTCCTTGAAAGCAGAATTTGTTGTGCTTATTTTATGTCCATGAGCTTTGCCTGGCCCTGGAACATGGTTGGTGCTAAATACATGTTAATTGAAGTAAAGGAGCTATTGTTTCCCTCCTTCTTCGTATCTTGAGTTGCTAAATTCATAACAATTCTCTCTTCTCTGAGAACTCACAGTTGGCAGTGGCTGTTTCTCCCCTGAACCCCCACATTCTCCCGCCCCTAGCTACCATTTACTGACCCAAGTTGAGCACCTGACCACAGCTGGTCCAAAGTGCCATCCTTGAGACTTGATATTGAGGCATTGGGTCAGTCTCTGTGGCTAAACCCAGAACACAGAAATAGAGGAGCTGTTGTAGAGCACTCGTATAGATTGAGATTGGAGAAAGATACACTTCTAGGATAAAAGACTGAAACTACCAACTAGAGAAGAGCAGACAGAACATGGAGAGAAATTCCTGAAGGATCTCAGCCCATTTCTAAGTCTTGGCTGCATTTCTGCATTTGCTTCCAGGAGGCACCTCATGTTCTTAGAGTAAACTTCCTTTTGTGTTAAAGTTGGTTCAAATTGGTTTCAATAATTTGTAACTAAAAATCTTCCACCACTACATCGAAATTTAAGGTTTTTCATTTCAGCGAAGGAAATTATGCCAAACAGGAAAAATATATAAAGGGGAGAGACCAAACTTAGCTTAAAAGATATAAACAGAAATAATTTTGGAAAATTTTATATTAAAGATAGATTTGGGGATTGGTAAAATTATGCCAAGGGACTGTACATTGTTAGATTTGAAGTAACAGGGTCTTTTTTTTTCCCTTCAAGATGAAAGGGGGAGAAAAAGATGATGTGTTTAAAAAGTACAGATAATAGACAATGATAAAGCAAAAGACCAGATTGTTAAAATAGACTATTCAGTGATCCTGAGTCGTTCCTAATGCTCCCTTAACTTCAGGCCTCACACCCAATCCATCACCAAGTCCTGTCGATTTCCATACCTCCCCATCGAGTCTGCCACCATCCCCCCTAACATCTGCAGTCAGCATTTCTCAGGAGGACTTTGCAATGGCCTCTCTCTGTGGGCTACTGGCGGCCACTCTGGCATCACTGTTCTCTGCACGGTGATGGAATGAGCTTCTAAAAATGCCCAATTGCCCCATCACCCCTCCCAGGGAAGACCTGGAGAGGCTTCCTTTGGCGCTTTCCCAGAGTCCTATCAGGGGCAGCCCTTGTCCATCTGTACCTCGTCCCCCTCCCTCCTGCCGGGGTCTTCTTTCTCATTCTTGCCTGGCCAGATTCCCCCCACTCTGGGGCATTGGCTCACACCGTTCCCTTTCCTGGAACACTCTTCTACCACCCTACCAAGCTCTCCTTGGCTCCTCTGACTAGTTCAGTTATTCCTCCCCAAGCACCCGTGCCTGTGCTTTCCACCTCTTGTCATCGTAGCGGTTTTACTTGTTCCTTCTGGTAACTGGGCATCTGTCTGTTGTCCTAGACTGGAAGCTGTGCAGGACAGGAGTCCCTTGCTCTAGCCTATTGGTTTAGTCCTTGTCTCTAACAGGATGTCTCACGGGATCGCAGCAAATATTTATTGAATGAATAAATATGTGGGAAGATCAGTAAAAAGCAAACACACACACTGCCCCCAAGCAACTTCTACCTTATCTGTTGTTTCCCCCAAGAATGTGTTGATAAAATTCAGTTGTTTATAACTCTGTTTCTCTTACATACTAGACTATTCACGAACAGTATTCATAATGCTGAAATCCCTTTTACAAGTTGGGATATAAGGTAATTAGTGGAGAAAATGTAACTAATGTTAGTAGGGCTTCTCGGCCAGTCCACAGAGGCCTTCGTAACTCATGGTGGCTCTAAAACAGTTTAAGCCCTGAAATCTACTAAGCCCCTTTGAGCCTGGGAGGGGCTCAGTGTTACAGAGGAGAAGAGGTCTCCAAGTAGTAGCAACTTTTAGGACTCCACGGAGCAAAGATGCTCTGAGCGGCATGTTCTAATGCTGACTGTTTCGGCTCTCGGGACTGGCGGGTGGGCATGGAGGACAGACTTGGACCATAGAAGGCAACAAGTTGCTCAGAAGCCAGTTTATTTGACTGGCTAGGAAGGGTCCTTTTCCTTTTCCTCGGTGCAGGCCCCTTTGAAAGCATGTGCGCGTAAGCAGAAGTCATCACTTTGCCGGCTGAAGGAAGACCTTCCTTCCTCTGGACTGTAGATGTAGCCACACTGTGGTTTAGAATTGCCGCATAGGAATTCCATCCCAAGAGGAGAAGGGGCAAGGAGTTTCCAAGGGCAGAAGAACTAAGAACAGGGGGGAAAGTCAAATTGTGGAGGTGATGATAGACATAGATTGTTGGGGAGAAGGGGAGAGGGCGCAAGGAATGAGGGGGAATGAGAAGGTAGGAAGGGAGGAAACCAAGTGCCGGCGTCTTGTCTGAGAGCAAGGGACATGAACATTCTTTTCTATTCCAATCACCCAATTTTTTGAGGAAAATTCCTGGATTCCAGGAGAAGGGGCCAGTTACTACAGTAACCAGCGTAAGTAAGAGTATATGTCTAATTTTAGAAAGAAGAATCTGACTGCAAAATTAAGAAAAAATATAAACTATCAAATGATGTGGTTACCTTGCAATGAAACGTTGTCGTGAAGTGAGTGTACAAAGGGTTCTGAAAAGGCTTTCTTTGTTGTTAAAAATGACAAAGACGATCGCCCGAAATTAAAGCACACATTCTTTGCAAAGAGATTGACAAATAGCATCCATGCAGTAAGAAGCTTGGGAATTCTGATGAGAACACATTTTTCAAGAACTCATCACCCCGTTCCCTTGCACTCTGGAGGTGGCCTCTTATTTATGGAGCTTGGATGTAACCAGTGAACCGAATACTTGAAACCAATTTGCTGGTTTGAAAAGACATTATTGATTCTCACAGCATGCACATACTTGGCAAATTTCATTGTTTAACTTACATGTGGATGATTCTTGCCTCATACTACTTGAAGTTAGGTAAGCTGACTGAGCTCGATGTGAATTCTCCTTGTTTTATTGAAGGCTTCAGAGGAGTTGAAAAATGGTTAACACATCTAAATATAACCCTGAGTTTAAAAAACTGTAATGTGCTGCTCAGAAGAATGTCTGGTTTGGTGAGGGATATGTATGGTAAGCACATGCTTTATTTTGGGAGTGGATTTGTGGAAATTTCCTGAGCATTTTGTCCAGTACCAAGAAGAGAGTGAAGGTGATTGATAAAGCACCAATTAAATAAATATATTTCTGGATTTTATTTAAAATCATCATTGCTGGAGTTATGGCTGATATATTGGTTTCAGAATTGCAAAGCCCAGTTGATATATTATTGATATCATATTAGCAGTATTGGTTGTATGACCTAAATTTGTATTTTTGAACTAAAAAGAAAGGAACACTGATGGAAAGGAAGAACAGAACTATGGTGTTCCACACATACATACTCCCTGGATAATTGCATGTTGTTTTTCACTAGATAATAAAAGTTCAGTAGACTGGTAAATAACTTTTGGGGTAGGTGAATATGAACAGAAACTCAACACTTTTGAGGTTAGTATCTCTTTTGATGCTGCTTGAAAGTATTTGTAAGTTGGTAAAGGCACATGCAGCTGACTTTCCCTTCGATTCTGGGAATATGGGGCCCAGCCCGCTCCAATTCCTGTCCCTCTAGAATTATCTTTATTATGCCAGCAGGAAGTCTGACACTTTGAACCAATTTGAACAGCCTTTGTAGCAGGAGAAAGTGACTTATATTTCCAGTCATCATTTATAAAATGACCATTCTAAGCCAGTTTGCTGGTAAATCCAAGGCCACAGGGGAGGATTTTATTTTGGGATGAGGAATCTTCAGTTCCACTAATTGAAGAGAGGCATCTCTGCCCCTTACCTGCATGGGTACTTATGGTGGGAGATGGAGCCTTCTACTATTTATTGACTTGAACTAAGTGGTCTCTCCAATGTATAGTTATGCTTTAGAACTAGAACTCCCTAGGTGCTCATTGGTGCAGTCAATTGGTTGAGAAAAGACTATCTTGAACACCTGCATGAATGGCTTTGAATTTTTTTAAAAGACTGATAAGTAAGTTTTCTTTCAGGCCCCAGGATTGATACAGAAAACTGTCATGTGAACTAGGAAGTGTAATTGACACCAGTGAGAGGACCCCAGTGTCTTGCCAAAAAGCACAACACGAAGGACAAGAAGGAGCAGAAGTCCCAGCCAGCAGGACAGAGACAAGCGGTGCGTGGACAGTAATAGTGTGAGAAATATGAATTCCCCAGGGTGGTTACTGGCTTGTGGACCTGGTGAAGCATGTAGCCCCAACTACTGTGCGTAAGTCCTCAAATACTATGCAGGCACACCTGCCATCCAACTGAGATAAATTGTTACCTTTCTAAACCATTACACACACCAGTGATTAGCTAAATTTCTTGAGAAAATGTTGGGGAGTCCAGAGAATCTAAGACTGAGACAGCTCTCAAGGCACAAGATTCCTCATTTTTAGGTACGAGGGTCACTGTGGACTTCAGCCTCTATCCTGAACAGATCACTCAGAAAGAAAGTTCTTCTGAGACTCAAAAACAGGGAGATGTCAAGTCTGTGACCATGGCTACAAAGTCACCTTTCCTCTCCGCTCAAGGGATGAACCACATTCAAAAGGGGGCGAGAACACTAGCAGAATATTTTTAATGTATCAACTGATTGTCCTCCTCCTGTTGCCTCTGCCTCTTCCCCGCCCCCATCCCATTCAGGCATCATTTATCATATCAGAAGAAGAAAGGAGCGTCACCAGAGAACAGGAAAAAAGGACATTTGATTTTCAAGTCGAGACCCTAAGGACACTTGGCTCACAAACTCTTAGGTGAGCTGGGGCGAGGTTCCAGGCACCCCTGCTGTCTTCCAGGTGTGCTGGTGGGAAGGTAAGACGTGGGGGGGGGGGCTAGATCTGGGAGAGGACAGAGACCTCTTGTGGAGGTGGGAAGGTGTGGAGGAGGGAAGGGGGAGGTAGAAGGGAAGCAGAGAGCATGTAGGCACTGGTGGCTCCTCTCTCTTCTAAGGAAGAGGCTACGTGTCCTGCTCCCCAGAGGGAAGGGATGGCTGGGTTGTTACCACTTCCCAGTTGAGCCCAGGGGGGCTGCAAAACCCCCGACCAGAAATGGCTGTGTTGGTGTCTTAAGGTGCAGATAATCTGAGCCACCCTCAAGTAGTCAAGCACAACCAGCAGAGCACCCCAGTGTTACAATGAGTCCTCTGCCTCTGCACGCAAAAGTGCCCCAGAGTAGAAAGTAATAATTTGCAATTGGCATTGGAAGTACACGGGGCATCTGGTGGGGCTGAGCCCTTAACGTGTGGGCTCTGATTTTAACCCCAGATAGGTAGTGTCAGAACTGAATTGACGTGTAGGGCACCAAAGTGCTGTTTGGGGAGTTGGTTGGTATAAAGGGGAAAACCTCATGTTTGGGATCAGAAGTATTTCGAGTAATTCAGGCCTTTGACATCTATCCCATTTCCTAAGACACATTTCAGATTTCACCTGCTCTTGGGCACCTTTCTAGACCTCTTGGGATTATTATTTTATTCATCCTTAGATTCCTTTAGCTCATCTCACTTTCACTCAAGTGCTTTATCAAAGTAACCCTGGTGTCACAGATCTTTAGTTAAGTCAGTGCCAGCTGCTGTGGCACCAGAAATGTTCTGTCTTGTATGCTCACAGTGCTGACCATGAATTTAGTATCTGAGGCTGGCAGGTATTTTGCTGCCTGGTATGTGATCAAACCTCATGTCTATTTGTCACACGAAATTGAAGTTAAAATCCTAAAACATTTATTCTCCAGTGAAACCTCAGCCAGCTCTTTGAAACACTGTTTCATTGGTCATGGCTTTAATTCTGTCACTCCTCTTCCTTTACTCCAATGCTTTATTTCAAATTTCTTCAAACTTTCAAAACAATTTAAAGAATCAGTGAACACCGATATAACCACCATTCAGCTTCTATAACACACAGTATTTTATAGGTATGTAGCTAGGCATATTTCTATATTATATATCCAGCTGTCCATCTCTCTGTACACCCATCAGACCAAATTATTTTTTCCGGGGTGTCCCTGGTGGCGCAAGGGGTTAAGACGCAACCTATGAAGATATCTGCAGCCAGTGCAGCATGAGTTCAATCCCTGGTCGGCCAGGGAGCAACCCACATGGCGCGGCAGACCTCTCCTGTCTCACCCGCCGCTCCCCTCAGCAGTGTATTTCAGTCACTCTGCCTGTTCTGCTCCCCGCTCTGTCTCTGGTGAATCCTCTCACCCCCCAACCTCAGGCCTGTACCCCAGTTCTTGTATGCATAAAGAAATAAATCTTAAAAAAAATATTTTTTCCTTTCTGCCTTTCAAATGCAAGTCATGTTTGAGAGCCCTTGACTTTAGACACAGATCTGGGAGTAATTCCTGAGTTCTACCCTTATTCACTGCATGACTTTAATGGTGTTGCTTCATCTGGGTTTGTTTTCCCTTCTGTGGAGCAGGAGTGGACAGTGAAGTGTCCTTCGTGGTTTGTGGTGAGGATTAAATGAGATAATGCAGATAAAGGGCCTGCCATGCACCATTATGTTTAATTCATGGTAGTGAAAGAAAAACAACAGTGTAAATATTTATTCCAACCATTAGCACTGATTTGTGCTTCTGGTATTCTTGCTTCCAGCCTCTACTTTAGGTCCAGAAGGAAAAGAAATTCATGGGAGACACTGATTCTCAGATTCATCCTCAGTCATGAGCAAGAGGGCTCCAGATCTGAGAGGTGAGCAAGAGGTGATCTGGGGTTTGGTGTGGAAACTGCTTTCTGAATTTCCCAGCACAATCTGGAAAACCCTAGAATTAACAGTCTAATCTACTTTTACACAGACAGGATGAGGGATCTTAATTCTTATCTAAAATTCACAAGATCTTTACTAAGATCGGAGGTGTTTAGGAGAGAATGTGAGGACTTTCCCGGAGTTGTAAAAACCACTTCTGAGCCCTTTGGTGCAAAGATTTGCACATTTTCAGAGTGTCCTCATTAGGACAACCGTCCTTTCTAAGACTGTAACATATCCCCAATTCAGGAAAGTAGAGTACCCAGATCTTTGTGTTCCTGACATGAGCCTGGAAGGCTGTGGCTGGACAGTGGACGATGACATGGCCCTTGCCCATAGCCTTGGAACAAGCAGCATTTGGAATTGTTGGGAGGCTGGAAAAAGAAAATCTCAACCTTTGTTTCCTGCCTGTTTTCTCACCATTCCCATGCCTACTCATTAAGTATCCTCCATACCTTAGTTTAATCACTAAGGAGGCCTCGCATGTTATGGTGTGAATGAATAAAATTGTGCTCAGTTCATATGAATTATTTTCTGCTGTATATTCATAGTTAGGGCTTCTTGATTGCAAATTTGTGTTACTCTGTGCCAAATGAGTTGTCTGCGCATACGAAGCCAAAAGGTGGAACTTTGAAAAATAAATAGGCAAACCTTTAGGTAGGCTGACTAAGAAAAAGAGAGAGGAAACTCTAATCAGTAGAATCAGAAGCAAAAGAAGAGAAAAGTACAACAGACATGTCAGCAATACAAAGGCTCATCAGAGACTACTATGACCATCTGTCTGCTGACAAGCTCAATAACCTAGAAGAATTAGAAAAAATTTTAGAGATATACAACCTTCTCAAACAGAATCAAAAAGAAATGGAAAACTTCAGCAGACCAATTACAGGCAAAGAAATTGAAACAATAATCAAAAGTATCCCAAAAAACAAAGGTTGAGGACCAGAAAGTTTCACTAGTGCACACTACCAAACCTTCAAAGAGGAGCTATTACCTGTCCTTCTCAAACTTTAAAAAAAAAAGAGAAAGCAGGAAAACTCCCAAAGACATCTTATGAGACCATAAACAGAAAAAGACTTCACAAAAAATGGAAAGATTGGGAATATTTCCAATGTCAACAAGCTTGGGCATGAAATAGAAACAACGACAACCCAGCAGAGCACCTGAGGAGACTTGCTGCAGCTAAAGAAAAGAAGAGCTAATAAATGTTTCCACAGCTAGCTGAGAATACAGGCTGGGGACCAGCAGGTAAGGGTATAATATAACCTAGGACAAAAAGGCGGACACATAGATTGAGTAACTATATTTTATCAATTCTGAGACATTCACACTTCACATTTTAATAACCCAGTCCTCTGTTGGCCAACTACAAAATAAAGATGTAGTTGTTACTGCTCATGCAGAACAAATTTTGTTATTAGAGACACACCTCAGAATAGTGTGGGTTTGGTTCTAGACCACTGCAATAAAGCAAATATTGTAATAAAGTACACTTTTTTTTGTTTCCTAGTGTGTATAAAAGTTGTTTATACTATAATGTAATCTATTTAGTATGCAATAGCATTATGTCTAAAAATTGTATGTACCTTAAATAATAGATTTTTCATTGCTGAAAGATGCTAACCATTATCTGAGTGAGGGTCTTGCTTTGATACTGACTGATCAGGGTGGTGGTTGCTGAAGGTTGGAGTGATAGGTAATTTCTTTTTTTTTGAATAATAAATTTTATTTTTATATTCCCCATATAATAGCAACCCCCCCTTCTGATCCCAATCCCTCCCCTCCCACCCCCCGCCCCCCAAAAAGTGTCTCTGGTTCATAGTTTTTTGTTGATTTTGATTTTCATTTTCTTATAATTTCTTAAAATCAGCGAAGACTGAAGTTCCCTGCATTGCTGGACTCTCTTTGATGAAATATTTCTCTTAGCAGTCAGTGCTGTTTGATAGCTTTGAACGTCTTTCAAAATTGAAGTCAGTCCTCTCAAAACCTGCCACTGCTTTTTCAGCTAATTTTTTGTCATATTATAAAATGTTTGTTGTCATTTCAATAATGTTCCCAGCATCTTTTCTAGGAGTAAATTTCCTGTCAGGAAACCACTTACTTTGCTCACATGTGAGAAACCTCTCCTCCTCTGCTCATGTTTTATCATTCAATTGCAGCAATTCAGTCATATCTCCAGGCTCCTTCTTAATCTGATTCTCCTACTGTTTCTACCATATTTGTAGTTACTTCCTTACCTAAAGTCTTTAACCCCTCAAAGTCATCTCCATGAGGGTGGCCCCACCTTCTTCCAAACTTTCGTTAAAGTTGTTATTTTGACCTCCTTCCCTGAGTCACAAATGTTCTTAATGGCATCTACTATATGAATATTTTCTGGAAGGTTTTCAATTTATTTTGCTCAGATCCATCAGAGGGATCACTGTCTATGGCGGCTATAGACTTATGACATGTATTTTTTAAGTGGTAAGTCTTGAAAATCAAAATGACTCCATGATTCATGGGCTACAGCCTGGATGTTTTGTTAGTAAGCATGAAAAAAAACATTTATTGGACCTCCCTGGTGGTGCAAGGGATTAAGACATAACCTATGAAGCAATCTGCAGCCACTGCAGCACGAGTTCGATCCCCCGGCCAGCCAGGGAGCAACTCACATGGCACAGCAGACCTCTCCTGACTTGTTTGCTGCTCCCCTCAGCAGTGTATTTCAGTCAGTCTGCCTGTTCTGCTCCCCACTCTGTCTCTTGTGAATCCTCTCACCATCCACACTTCTGGCCTGTACCCCAGTTGTTGTATGCATAAATAAATAAATCTTTTACAAAAAAAAGAAAAAAACATTTATCTCTTCATATATCACCATCAGTATTCTTGGGTCACCAGGTGCATTGTCAATGAACAGTAATATTTTGAAAGGGATCTTCTAAACAGTAGGTCTTAACAGGGGGCTTAAAATATGTGATGAACTGTGTCATAGGCAGGAATGCTGTCGTCCATGTTTTATTGTTCCATTTATACAGCACAGTCACGGCACATGTGGACAACTTCACTCCCTTAAGCTTTTAGTCAGAAAAAGGTTTAAGCACTATTTGAAGAAGGAAAGGAATCCTGGTTGTTGTCTGAAATCTAATTGTTGTCATTTGTTTAGATACCAAAATGTAACAATCCCAAAACCTTTATATCAAGTGTAACTTGCTTGGAAGAGAATTCCAGAGAGAATAGTAGAATTCTTTAAAGAAATATCTCAATGCTCTTGATGACACTGGCACTAATATCTTGGGGGAAAACATGCCAATTCTGAGTTGAAAGGTGACCCAGGAGAGTTGAACTCTAAATGTGAAGAAACTTGATGGATAGTCTAATTGGCAGCATTTTCCCCCTCTCTTAATTTTACATGATAACCATGTATCTTATCACCAATGATGTCTTCCATTCAGTGTAATGTGGTATTTGTGTTGGTCTTTACAAAAGTGAATACTGAAGAAAATTCACAACTCTGGATAATTTCCTAAGAAAAGCATGTATGTAATTCTTACAGAGGTGACCTGGGGAATCACAGACCTGTCTGTGCCTAACTTCAATAAAAGAAAACTGCCATGAATCTAAAAAATAATATTTAAGAAAGCAGTGGGGTTTTGTTAAGAAGGAATTATTCCTACTTTATTGAATTTTTTTTAATAAACTATGTAGGTTGATAAATGTTGACCGTCAAAGGCTTTCAGAGTTGGAGGTCATTTACTCATTCCCTTCCTCCTCCTTCCCCCTCGTACTCCTGAGAAGCAGTCATCGTCTCTATATTGGACACATCCTAGTAAAAACCCTCAAAGCTCATAATCCAATTGTTCCATCCCTCTTCTGTATGCTGCCTTTTGAATATCTCAAAATCCTTTCAGCAGCACCTCATGCTGCTCATCCCCAGACAAACATCTTTCTTCAAAGATTTGTCATAATATAAATAAACAAATAAAACAAACAAACAAACAAAGATTTATCATAATCTGTTCGAGTTCTTCCCACCCTGAAGTCTCTCCTCTGAATACCCTCTAATTTGTCTGTTATAACTAGTCCTTTGTCCAGAAGTCTTAGTTTATGCTTCTTTTTTTTTAAACAGGTGAATTACACCTGCAGAACCTGTCATTCTAAAAAGTGTCCAGATTCCAGTAACACCATATAGTCCATGTGCTTACAACTGAACCTAGTAATAGCGAAGGTGGGCAGGTTAGCAAAACTCAGAGTAGAGCAGGGCTCTCACCGTCTGAGTCTGGTCACTTAACAAGTGCTTAAATAGATGCAGTTGTGACACGGGCCATGCAGCACACCACGCGATCTCGTGGCTGATTGTGGTTCTCAAGTCTTTCCTGCAAAGCTGCGTCTTCCCTGGTTTTACATTTGTTCCTGTGGCATTTGTTCCTACGAAATTTTATTTCAGTTTGCCACCCAAAATGTCTTCTCTTCCAATTTGCTATCAAGAAATAGACTCTCTTCTGTATCATTGTCCAAGTCTTTAAAAAATATTGTGTGAGCTAGTCTCATGGCACGTCACCTCTTTCATTTGACCTCCGTTCATATCCTGGGAATCATTTAAAATCACAAACTCACTTAATTATGGTAGCATCCTGCCCATATATTTCTGCCTTGTGCATGACAATATCTTAAGAGATCTTGGCAAATGTCTCTTGAAATTTCAGATGTTTAATGTACAATGTTTTTTTTCCTAATCTGTGCAGCTAGATCTTGGATCATAAAAAAAGAAAAGGAAAAACAGAGTTAAGGATATGTGACTTCTTTTAGTGAATATATTTCTTTCTAACCCCCAATAAAGCCTTCAAAACGTAATGACTGACACAAAGGTCAGTGCTCAATGATGTTTGCTGATTTTATGGAAAGATAAGCAGAAGATCTTGCTTATGGCTCTTGCTGTGAAAAAAGACTATTTCCTGTCAAGGACATC